CACACTGCCTTATTTAGGGTAAAGAAATGTGTGAGAATTATGTTACACAATGTTAATTAGGTATTTCTTTGTTTCTCTTTTATTAATTTTGATTAATATATATTAAGATTAGTTGATTAAGAGAAGTACAGGTGTACAGTATTTTATTGCATTTGAGAAGGTCATTCCATAATTTAGGACCCCTTGAGTCATACTCATGGAATTTAAAATACATTGTGATGTCCATAGGCTCTGTTGCAGCCTTCAATAGAGCATTTGAGGTCAGCATTAATATTAAAACTTGAGTTTTATAGATGTAGGGTGCACTTGATATTTAGTATGTTCAAGGATGTTACATGCCATCTGGGACTGGAGTTTGTTATTGTTCCAATTGCTGCTTTGTTGAGTGATTATGATGATGAGGTAATTTTGAGTTGTAGATACCAATTCAATGTGAGTAGACGAGTGAAAATCCTAGTGCTTGCTTGGGCCTGATATGAATTACGTGATACACTCTTGGATGATAGATATGCAGAGAAAACCTGACTTAACAAAATTCCAGAAATTGTAAATAGAGAAGCAAACTTCTGTATGACCTACAATAAAGAGCCATCATACTTAAGGTTGTGCATCTGAGAATGCAACAACAGTATAATGATTAAGGAATTCTTGACCTAGGTTTAGTGTACAGTACTGTACTGTATTTATGTATAACTTAAATGTAAAGCTGATACTGACCTATGCTTCTGAATAGTAGATTATTTGATTTGAGTCGTATTCTTGGAATGTAATTAAGAGTTCCTAAAAAAACTATGAAGTTTTGTATGATACAATATTACATTAATAGAGAAGTACCAACTGTTAATAGAAAGTTGGAAAGACATTCTAGAAATCTATATGTAGCTAGGCAGGGTTAGGGGGGAGGAAATGCCAAGGACCATGTATGAAGCTAGGAAGAATTAGTAGGGGATGTCAGGTGTCCTGTATGTGATCAGGTAGAGTTGCCACATATGTGGTCAGGCTGGTTTTGATGACGATGATGAGGACCACATATGTGGTCAGGTAGGGTTTGATGACGATGTTGAGGCCCACATATGTGGTCAGGTAGGGTTTGATGACGATGTTGAGGCCCACATATGTGGTCAGGTAGGGTTTGATGACGATGTTGAGGACCACATATGTGGTAAGGTAGGGTTTGATGACGATGTTGAGGACCACGTATGTGGTCAGGTAGGGTTTGATGACGATGTTGAGGCCCACATATGTGGTCAGGTAGGGTTTGATGACGATATTGAGGCCCACATATGTGGTCAGGTAGGGTTTGATGACAATGTTGAGGACCACATATGTGGTCAGGTAGGGTTTGATGACGATGTTGAGGACCACATATGTGGTCAATTGGAGAGACATTTTGATGTGTCAGACTCAAAAGGGGGTTGCTTCATTACGAATACATAGTCCAAAACCGGCAAATCTAGTGGTGGTGGCCATCAAGTTGGTTCAAGTAATCCTTCTTGCCTGATCGATGCAACATGAAAAACAGCATGGAATGCCAATGCGAATATTGGCTTTGATCACACGTACAATATAATTAAGCTTAATTTGAGAATGCAGATGAATTTCTTTACTCAGAGTAACAAGCAAAAAGTCATCAAATGTCAAACCTATTGTGCATTAACCCTCAAACTGTGCATGGCGTATATATACGCCATGAGTAACATGTCCCATGGTGCGCATGGCATATATATATGCCATAGGGTGCCAGGCACGATTCAAATGGCCCGCGGCTACACGTGGTTCACATAGCTTCCTCAGGGCTCTTGTAAACAGACGCCATTTAAAAAAAAAATCATGGACAATATTCTCAGGTGTGAGAGGCACAGTACTGTTGGAGCAACCAAGGCTGGCGCACGCAGCATGAGCGAACAGCATTGCTGTTCAGCTTGTGACCACAGCATCGCAAAAAAATGTCAAAATAAATATATAACTGCTATTATTTAGTGATGACAATATTACAGAGGACCCCTGACTGTGATAAAAATGACCAGGATTGTAATAATAGCAGGATTGTTCTGATAATTAGCGCTGTGGGAGGAGTGATGCTGAGGGACGAAGGGAGATAGCATCATTTACTGACTGTGTGGTCACCTGTTATTGTCTACATTCACCATACCAGCTCAGTGGTTCTCTATGGTGAACACAAATATAGATACTTCTATATAATGTGTGCGTTAGTGTAATAACAGCAAAAGGATTATGTTGGGAGGAGCCATTTGGGTGACGGAGGTGATGTCGTCTGCATGACTTGTCTGGCTGTGTAGAGGGTGGCCACTATGCTCTTTGGGCACTCTACAAGCTTAGGTGTATAGTTACGGTGCAAACAACATGTAGATACTTATATATAATATGTGTATATAGTGTAAAAACACTGCAAACAGTATTGTTGGGGGAGAAAATTTAGTGCGTGTGACCTTGAATGAGTGAGGGAGTCACCAGCTGACTATATGTGTAGCGATGACTCTAGTGCCTGAACTAACTATATCAGCTTAGTTGTAGTGTTGTGGTGAACAAAACATGTAGATACTTATATATAACATCTGTATATTGTGAATAAAGTATAAAACAGGATGGTGGGAGGAGAAAGTGGGCGAGTGAGGCGTTTGTTGAGGGAGTGAGTGGCAACGAGTGGCTGGCTGGTGTGTGGCGGTCACTCCTCGTTGCTTCTCGATTCATAATACTGTACCAACTTAGTGGTTCGTTATGGTGACCAAAACATGCAGATACTTATATATAACCTGTGTATAGAGTGTAATAACAGCAAAACTATTTGTTTATTGTTTTATGAACATAATAATTGAATCACTAATATGCACACCATAATTTTGAGTATAGCGATGATTCACCACTTTTATTATATAAATATATCACACTATGCACCACTGAATAATATTACTGCAAAAAACTAAGAAAAAATCAATCAGAGACATTTAAATAATTAGGTAATAATATCTTTGTGGCAACTCTCGCCTGTCAGCTCGGGTGACGCTGACCGCCACTGACGACCGCTGTCAACGCTCACTTTTTGCCAGACTTCCTCGGTCTATTGCGCCCAAAATATGTCGCCTACGATGTTTTTTTTCCCCGTGCTCAGGGAACACAAATTAACATTTTTAGAGGACGAAATAATTTTTTAGAATTTTTTTTTTCTTGCGCACAGGGGTGTTAATGTCCTCAGGACCCCTTAGCAGCTTAAGGGGTTAATATATGGTTAAAAACTCTCCATAAAAAATTGACATTTGCCCATTATATTGCATAGGTAACGCAGTCATACCCAAGATGTGCTTACAATAGTTTTATAATTTCATTCGGAGGTTAAATTACGATTGGCCAGCAAGATTTGTTCCTGAAACTAAGATGTCAGTATCATAAAGTTAGAGAAATTATGAAATGATCTTGCTACACCAAACAAATTATTGGAATTATTATTGGAAAAGAATTTATTATCTGGCAGTACTTATATATTTTTAATCTTTCAAAAAATTTATATACAATTATTATTATAGTGAAAGTTCAATATACATGTATATTAAAAATAGTGTTTGTGTGTATAAAATGAGGGTAAGAAACTTAGGCAAAAAAAATCAAAATTACACATTAGTTTGTAAAATGACCCGGTAATACTGTATAATGCTTTAAGGTGGAGCTGTAGAAGCATAACTTTTAATTAGTATGTAAAGATGCTCCTCTATGCGTAAATATGTACAAATATAAGTAAATGTGCTATATGTAAATCCTTTATATGTAAAAATGCTCCTCAAGGAGAAGCAAATGAACAAATGCCTCTCCTATAGTGTAATAGTCAGTGCAGTTGGTTAACAACTGAAAGATCCTAGGTTCGATTCCTGAGGCAGGAGAAAGAGACGTTTGGGCATGTTTTCTTTCATGAGATATATCTGTTAACCCAGCTAAGTAGGTACCTGGGGGGGTTAGGCTATTGTTATGGTATAATTCCTATTATTTTAATAATGAATTGTTATATACAGTGTGATGAAAAATGCTTTCTAGGCAGAAGAAAGGTTAGGGATGGTATGCTAGTAACTCCTACAACCTCTCAAAAATTCCAAGGCGTTATGGCAGGTAATGAATCTCCCAATGGTGAACACGCAAATTGCAAACTGTGTGAACATACTCTGAGCTAGGACATACTCTCCAACACAATATCTGTGGTTGCCTTGTTATCAATGATTCAGACCAAATGGTATGAGGTACTTTGAGGTCTCTAACTATTTCATACACTTGTGAATATTGGAAGGTATTCTTGTGCTGTACCCAGTGTGTGCTAGTGGAAGTGTAATAGATCAGCTTCGTATCTTATATTCTTTCCTGATTCCATTTATGCCTAACCATCCTGTGAGATGGGGGTATTAGATGAACTTATAGCTAGTTTCTGATCTACACTTTAATTATTTATATAGAATAGGGCAGCAGCACATTGCTGTGTATACCTAAGAGTGTTACTAAAAAAAATGGTACCTATAATCTAGGATTAACACTACATGAGACCTATAACCTGGTACTGTAATACAATATGTTGCCTTCAGAAAGTGAAATAATTTTAGCTGTGGATTGTCGTTCATATATGACTTTCACTTCTGATTAAGAGAATAAACTTCCAGTGATGTTTTTAAGAAGAAACAAGGTGTTTATAAAATATTTTGTACACATTGATAAGTGTCGACTGGCAAGACATAACATTTCACTTTAAAAACTGTTGACAGCCTTGACATATGGTAGAAAATTAGGTAATGAATAAACTTCAGTTTAAACATAAATTATAATGCGAATCAGGCAATTATTTAAGAAAATAACGAAATTAAACGATATAAAGTAATGTACATTATTCAAGGCTCGGCCTCTCCCTGCCCACCTCTCACCTCTCTCTCTCTCTATCCACCTATCTCTTCTTCCTTCGTGATCTTTCTCCTCCACCCTGGAGTAAGAGGCCTCAAGATCGGACTCACTTTTGGAGAGTCTCCAGAGTTCTCTGGCAGAGAAGCAGCCAGTTGCCAGGATGGTGCTGTTGTAGATGATGCCGTTAATGCCGTTGTAAGCCACGCTGTGTACCGGGTGACCTGCAAAAAGGGTGCCTTGTTAATAACCACTCTTGAGACTTCTAATACATTTTACATAAAGCATCTACATGTGTGTGTGTGTTATTGTAGTATACTATAAATTATATCATGAGCCATACAGTACATTAGTAACCATGTATATGGGTGTGAATTATGGAACTTGAGGGGAAAGCGTGCATGCCTTCCCCTTCTAATTGTTGTTTTTATTTAATTTCTCAATCTTTTTTGACATGGTATTTTCCAATGACTTCTCCACACATCATTTTGAGAATCGTTCATCATAAGAGAAAGCACAGCAGCACATTTTCAGGATTAATTAAAGATTCGTGTGAACAGTGAACAGACTTGTGGTCAGGTGGTTGAAGAGGTCCTTAACCACTGTGCTGTACCAACCGAGAAATCTTGTTCTGAGAGTTGTACTATTTTTTTTTTAATTAGGCTATATTTTAATGTTTTTTTTAATGTTTTCATCACTCTCTGTGTTTTGAAATGAAAATAGTTGAGTTTGGAAACGTTTTGACATTAACTTTACCTTAACATTTATAAAAACACCAAAAATATGTCCTTAACAATTGCACTAAAAAGTTTTTGCCAAAAGCAGGTGCGCAGTGCAGGGGTTAAAGGTGCTGTGCTACAGCTGTATTAGGGCACCAGAACTGTGCATGCATGCAACATATGCATTGCTGTTATCTTATATTATGGTTGTTATACTGAACACATAGTTTACTGCAATAATCCTCAAATTATGCTACAATGTACCTGTGGATAACCCTGAAATTTACTTTAATGTACCTACTAATCCTGTCAAATTATAAAATGTATTTTTATACTTTCATACAATGTACCTGTAAACATTGGTTTAATTTTGCTAGAAATTACCTTCTTAAGATTATATGTTAGATTAAGGATCTGCCCAAAACGTTGTGTGTGCTAGTGGCTTTACAAGAACGTAAAACTTTAATGCTCTGTACTCTCATAAACCCAATGTACCTTCATGTATATAAATAAATAAATTAAATAAATATGTACCTCATACTTTACTCAAGGTTTCATTATCACACGATTTTATAAATACTCCGGAGTGTTTATTTTCTGTCACAAATGCGACTAAACACTATGTTAACCAAAATATATAATTTTTCTGCCTTCCATGGACAGAGGTTAGAAATAAAATCTCTTATACACACACATGTAATAATAATAATAATAATAATAATAATAATAATAATAATAATAATAATAATAATAATAATAATAAAATATTTATATAAAAGTATACATGCTTCATATTACAGTGGAGGATTCATCAGCAAGCATACAGAAACAATAAAGTCTCAATATGCACAGCCTTTCCTGCTTAACATAAAGACAATTAGGAGATTTGTTTACAAGTCTAATGGGATAATACTTGAAACTTAATGAGAAGTAAATTAACAGGTGTTTAATTATTTTCACAAATTCACATTGTAATTACAAGTCACACTTTGCATGCACAAATGTTTTTGTGTGTACTACTTCATTAACGCTCGTGTTCTTGATGATATCCTATTAATGCACTCAGAGTGTACATTACTGTTCCCATGGGCCTGTATGACTGACCATTCTGTGTGGTGGGGACTTTCAGCATCATGTAGCTAGTTCTTGACACACTGTACTCCCCTTCATATAGTCTTGGGGGAGCTAGTTCTTGGCACATGCTGTACTTCCCTTCATATAGTCTAGCGGAGTTAGTTCTTAACACACACTGTACACCCTTCATATAGTCTAGGATAGCTAGTTCTTGACACACACACTGTACACCCCTTCATATAGCCTAGGATAGCTAGTTCTTGACACACACACTGTACACCCTTCATATAGTCTAGGATAGCTAGTTCTTGACACACACACTGTACACCCCTTCATATAGTCTAGGATAGCTAGTTCTTGACACTGTACTCCCCCTTCATACAGTCTAAGGTAGCTAGTTCTTGACACACTCTGTACTCCCTTCATATTGTCTGGGGTAGCTAGTTCTTGACACACTCTGTACTCCCCTTTATATTGTCTAGAGCAGCTAGTCCTTGACACTCTGTACTCCCCCTTCATATTGTCTAGGGTAGCTGCACAAATTTAGATGTACCTAAATGTGTTAATAAAAAAGTATGTTTAGAGAAAAGCTACTCGATCTACAGTTGACTGAGGGGCCATAACTTTAAATTATGCAATAAATAAAAACTGGTTCGATTTCAATCAAACTCTTTTGACTAGCTGTATATGAAAAGGGCTTCAACTGGTCCAAGTCTCAGCATCGTAGCATAAATAGGAAGGGAGATAAAAATATTGAATTATGTGTAAAAAAAAAATTCCAAAATGGTCAGAAATTAACATCAAAATATCAAAAGGATATCATCAGCGGCATATGCTAGACTGGCCAACATAAGAACTGACTTTAGAAACTTGTGTAAGGAATCGTTCAGGACCTTGTATATCACTTGAGTAAGACCAATCGTGGAGTATGCAGCTCCAGCCTTGACTCCATACCTAGTTAAACACAAGACGAAGTTAGAGAAGATTCAGAGGTATGCCACCAGACTGGTCCCGGAACTGAGAGGTATGAGCTACGAGGAAAGGCTAAAGGAGCTAAACCTCACGTCCCTGGAAGACAGAAGTGTAAGGAGAGACATGATAACCACCTACAAAATTATCAGAGGAATTGACAGGGTCGACAAAGACAAACCATTTAGCACGGGTGGAACACGAACAAGGGAACACATTAGCACAAGGGTTTAGTGCTAATGCTCAATTTGGCCGGGTTCGATTCCCGGTCGAGGCACAAACAAATGAGTCAAAATTTTCACCTGATGCCCCTCTTTACCTAGCAGTAAATAGGTACCTGGGAGTTACAGCTGATACGAGCTGCATCCTGGGGATGTGCGTGTACTCACCTAGTGGTTCTTGCGGGGGTTGAGCTTCGGCTCTTTGGTCCCGCCTCTCAACTGTCAATCAACAGGTGTACAGGTTCCTGAGCCTACTGGGCTCTATCATATCTACACTTGAAACTGTGTATGGAGTCAGCCTCCACCACATCACTGCCTAATTCCATCTGTTAACTATTCTGACACTAAGAGTTATTTCCATTGTCTCTGTGGCTCATTTGGGTACTCAATTCGCAACACTGTGCCCTAGTGCGAATTGAGCAGCTTTTCCAGTTTATTGATGTGCTTCTTGAGATTTGGGCACCACACAACTGCTGCATATTCCAGTTTTGGTCTCACAAAAGTCATGAACAGTATCTTCAGTATTTCACCATCCATATAATTAACAGCAAGTGTGAAGTTGGAAAGCGACACATACGCTCCTCTCACAATGTGAGAGGAGCGATTCTGCCCGAAACGCTGTGCGTACTAGTGGCTTTACAAGAATGTATATACTGTACTATCCAATGTATTCTCACAAACCCAATGTACCTTCTTGTATATATATAAATAAATAAATAAATAAATAAATAAATAAATAAATAAAATGTTCTTTATGTGTTCCTCTGGCGACAGCTGACTACCCAACCCCACCCTCCAGGTCTCCTTCTTTATTAGAGTTCTGTAATTCCTTTCCTCATAATTTGTAAGTTGTGTGTGGTCTATTCTCTCCAACTCCACATTCCATAACATGACATATGTTCACATTGAATTCCATTTGCCACATGTCGCTCCAAGCACTTATTTTATCTAGATCAATATGAAGGGCATTACAATGGTCTGCGTCTCCTGTCTTCCCCAGTGTCTTAGCATCATCCACAAACATGTTCATAAAATGCTGTATTCCTTCTGGGAGATGGTTTATGTTGAAGATGATCATTACTGGTGCAAGAACTGAACCAGTTCCAGAATGTTCCAGAACCAGAATGTGCTCAGTTGCACATTCTCGAAGCACCCAAGGTGAAACTCCAACAGGTCCAACTGCTTTATTTCTGCCCAGTCCCTTGTCCACTTCGTTTTGAGATACAGTACCTGTGTGTATTGTATGGCTTGTTCTGGAAGTGGTATTGGGTCCTGTTCTATGAAATCCTCATTTTGTACAAACACTTTGGAACTGTTCATTTAGCGTTTCACACATTTCTTGTTCATTCTCAGTAATCCTGTGTGTGTGTACTCACCTAGTTGTGTCTGCAGGATCAAGCATTGACTCTTGGATCAGTGTGTGTGTGTGTGTGTGTGTGTGTGTGTGTGTGTGTGTGTGTGTGTGTGTGTGTGTGTGTGTGTGTGTGTGTGTGTGTGTGTTAGTAGTAGTAGATATGACAGTATATACATGTACATAACTAAATCAGTAAATAAATGACAGAGGAAATATATGTCGGGAGTCAGTACATTTAACAATCGACGGATAGAAAGGCGGGGTCCAAGAGCTAACAGCTCGGTCCTGCAGGCATAAATAATACACACACAGACAGACACAGTGTAGAGGAATAACGTGGAGGTGGTATCCCCCCCCCTCCATCACTTCCACTTGGCTGGACACGAAAGACTTAATATATTCCCTCTCTCTCTCTCTCACCCTCTACCCATTCCCCTCGCATCATGTCTCCTCTCCTCTCCCCTTTCCCTAATTATTGACATCTTCAATCTCCCTCCCTACACCCTCATCACCAGGTCCCCCCCCCCCCTCTCTCTCTGCCCACATAACATTATCAACAAGTTCAAGCATGTTTATTGAGACAAGGCAAAAATATATCTCAAAGGGATAGAGTAGCTTAGGCTATTTCTACCCCTCTCAATTATCAACAAGAGTAAACGTACTCACCAACTCATTCTGCTCAAACACAAAACACACTAATGAAGCAGCAGCACACACACACGCACACACACACACACACACACACACACACACACACACACACACACACACACACACACACACACATCTGGGATAGCAGATAAATGTAAAACAGAACCGGGCCTATTCTACAAATTCAGAGGATAATATCCAGAGGTTGAAAATGGGAAACAGATTCACGGAAAATG